AGTTTCAACACGTCATCTTCCAACAGGGATCTGATGAAGTGGTACCGAAGCGCAATATGCTTCGTTCTAGAATGAAATGCTGAATTCTTCGCCAAGTGTATCGCACTCTGGCTATCACTGTGCAAAACATTCTTCTCCTGTTTGAATCCCAGCTCTGTCAACAAACCCTGAAACCATATCATCTCTTTACTAGCTTCAGTCACTGCAACATACTCAGCTTCTGTAGTGGATAGGGTAACGATCTTCTGTACCTGTGACATCCAACTAACAGCTGTACTTCCGACGGTGAATACATAGCCGGTGGTGCTTCTTCGGTGATCAACTTCGCCGCCGAAGTCTGCATCTACGTACCCTTGCACTTCTACCTCTCCCTTACCAAAGTGCAAACACTTCTGTGTGGTGCCTCGTAGATATCTCAGAATCCACTTGACCGCTTCCCAATGAGCTTTTCCTGGATTCGACATAAACCGGCTGACCACTCCCACTGCATGGCCAATGTCTGGTCTCGTACAGACCATTGCGTACATCAAACTTCCGATAGCTGAGGCGTAAGGAACCTGAGCCATACTCTCTTTCTCTTCTTCTGACTGAGGAGACTGATCCTTCGACAGACGAAAATGGCTAGCCAAGGGTGTGCTCACAGGCTTGGCGTCGCCCATGTTGAATCTCTGCAAAACACGGTTGATGTACTCCGTCTGAGATAACTGCAAGAGACCTCTCTTCTTATCTCTCGTGATTTGCATTCCAAGGATCTTCTTCGCTGGACCCAAGTCCTTCATGTCAAACTCCTTTGACAGCTGCTGCTTCAAACTCTTGATATCTTTCATATCTGCTCCTGCAACCAACATATCATCAACATACAGCAGTAGGATGATATAGCTGGACTGATATCTTTTGAAGTAGCAACAGTGGTCGGCGTTGCACTTCTGGAAACCTTCCTTGTGCATAAAGCCGTCAAACTTTCTGTACCACTGCCTTGGGGCTTGTTTCAGGCCATACAAGCTCTTCTTGAGTCTGCACACCAGGTTCTTCTTCTTTTCTTCTGAGAAACCTTCTGGCTGGTGCATGTATATCTCCTCTTCTAGATCTCCGTGAAGAAACGCCGTCTTCACGTCTAACTGCTCGAGATGAAGATCTTCAATTGCTACAATACTCATCACGGTCCTGATAGTATTTAGCTTCACCACGGGAGCGAAAATATCGGTGTAGTCAATTCCTTCCTTCTGCTGGAAACCTTTGACAACCAATCGGGCTTTATATCTCCTGGAACCATCCTGCTCCTCTTTCACCCGGTACACCCATTTGTTGTGGAGTGCCTTCTTACCCGTGGGCAACTCAGCTAGTTCCCACGTCTGGTTTGATATGAGAGACTTCATCTCATCTTTCATTGCAAGCTCCCACTTGCTCGCATCTCCACACTGACAAGCTTCATCAAAGCTTTCAGGCTCCCCACCATCTGTCAACAACAGATAGTTCATGTATCTCCTGTTGGGTACAGGAGGACGAGAAGATCTTCTTAATATCGGAGCTGGTGCGTCGGGCTCCTGCGCACCATCTTGTCCAACAGGCTCTTCTTGCTGAGGACCCTCTGCATTGGGTTCTTCCGAGAGGTTACTCGGGACATCATCTGCATCTATAAATGTGGACTCGCTCTCTGAGTCGTCAGTCTTGTGCATGTCCTTGTACATCACCTTCTCGTTGAATATCACATCTCTGCTCCGGATCACCTTCTTGTTTTCGTTGTCCCAAATGCGGTAGCCGAACTCATCTTCACCATAGCCGATGAAAGTGCATTTCTTTGACTTGGGATCAAGCTTATTCCTGCCTTGATCACTAATATGCACGTAAGCTACACAACCGAAAACTTTAAGATGTGAGAGTTTTACCTCCTTTCCGCACCATACCTCCTCTGGTATTCTGTGCTCCAATGGAACCGATGGACCTCGGTTGATCAAGTAAGCTGCTGTGTTGACCGCTTCTGCCCAGAACTGCTTCGGTAGGCCTGATTGTACTCGAATGCTTCTGGCTCTCTCTGTCAACGTTCGGTTCATCCGCTCAGCTACACCATTTTGCTGAGGCGTGCCGGGCACGGTTCTCTCCATTCTGATCCCGTGCTCATAGCAGAACTTCTTGAATCCGGTGTCTTCATACTCACCGCCATTGTCGGTCCTGAGCTTCTTTATTCTCAGACCGGTCTCATTCTCGACCATAGCTTTCCATCTCCTGAAAGCCTCAAATACTTCTGACTTATGCTTCAGAAAGTAGACCCACACTTTCCGAGAGTGATCATCGATAAAAGTCACGAAGTAGTGTTTTCCACCAATGGACGCGGTGGTTGTTGGTCCCCACACATCTGAGTGAACGAGCTCTAGCTTCTGCTTCCTGGGGGTTCTGCCACTTGTCTGAAAGCTGACTCTCTTCTGCTTTCCAAGTATACATTCTTCACACATATCCATCTCCACTGACTGCAGTCCTGGGAGTTTTCCCTTTGTGTGCATAATCTTCATCCCCTTTTCACTCATATGACCGAGTCTCTGGTGCCACAGCTTTGAAGTCTCATTGCCTGCTGCAACTGAGATCAAACAACGTGCACCTGCTGTCATATACAGGGTACCAGTCTTCTTGCCTCGGGCAATCGTCATTGCGCCCTTTGAGATCTTCCAATCATCTCCATGGAAGGTCGTGGTATAACCTTCGCCAGCCAACTGGCCTACGGATATTAAATTCTTTCTCAGGTCGGGAATATGCCTGACATCCTTCAGCTCCCATACTGACCCGTTCAACTTAATTTTCACCACGCCTTTGCCCACAATAGCACACGGTTGATCATCACCAAGATATACGTATCCAAGTTTTCCGGGGGTATACTTCTCGAAGAATTCTTTCTGAGAAGTAGCGTGGAACGACGCTCCTGAATCTAACACCCAAGATTCCTCCTTGCTCTCCAAAGAGCATATCAATGCGTCGTCTCCTCCTGAAGTGGAGGTGACATTCACCTCTGCCTTCGCCTCCTTCTCCTTCTGTGCACTCTTGCACTGATTCTTGTAATGCCCGGTCTTTCCACAATTCCAACACTCGATAGCCTTCGAGAGCCTGGAAACTGATATCTGGCTCTTAGGAAGCAAGAATTTATACTCATTGATGATAAGAACGTGAGTTAACCAACAATTTAACTGATGGAATCTAGCAATTTGGTTGTGTAAATTTATGCATTGTCTTTCATTAAAAAAAAAATTGTACTTTGAATGTGCCTCCTGCCAGTTTGGACTACAATTTTATGGCTCACTTGTTAAAGCACTATTTCCTCATTATCTTGTGAAACGTAATTTATTGTTAAATCATATCCGATGTCTAGGCGCCTGCAGCTCCTGCAAGTTGGATTTTTGTATCATTTAGATCATTAAACCTGTAATAAGTTTTACACTATTGTTTTGCCCTCATCTATCACTGTGCGGGCATAGTCACTAGTTTCAGACAGTAGTTAGTTATTAATAGTTGGTTTAGCAAAAAATAAGTGTTATAATCAGAAATTTGTAGCATCTAAAGCTTGATTATTACTCACACGACTTGGCAGCTGCAAATGGATCAGATACGGTTTAGTATGGGACACCCGTAGTCCATATCTGTACGGTTCACAAATGTATCCATATACGTATCCAAGATTTATTATTTCTTATCAGCAACATATATATCAGTACAAATAAAGATATATCTGCGGAAATCCATATACCTTTGCATCCATACTCACATAGACTCCCCATAAATTGATCCCTTCCTTCGTTCACATTCACGACACCACAAACAGAGGGAAGCTTTTGCCTCGAAAACATGGCGATAAGGTGCAACCAAATTTAAAACGTGGGAGACAATGCAGCAGAGATATTTCATGGTAAGGGGCCAAAATATACAATTATTTGGAGAGCAATACAAATAGAATGTCAAAAATGGTGCATTGGAGATCAAGAAGATCCTTTAGCAATCACAACGTTTGGGAGCGAGGGATTAACATGGAGAATATACTGTTAGGAATTTAACGCCTAAATTCCTAATTGCAACAGAAACGCAGAATAGAAAAGTACACCAAGATTTAACGAGGTTCGGCAACTGCCTACGTCCTCGGGAGCCACACAGATAATTTCTTATTAATTAAACAAGAAATTACAATTTAGGAGCGTATCTCAAAACTGAGATTTCTCAGATAAACACTGTAGCTACAGTGTTAATAATCAAAGGGTATGAACCCTTTCAATTTTCAACTGAGAATAAATACCCCCTCTTGATTCCCTCTCTCTCTTATTAAATCCCTCTCTCTCTCTTAATCTTTCTTTTAATCTCCCCTCAAAATCCCGAAGCTCTGAGCGCTGGAGAAAATCGCCTCTGCGATTTTTAGGGCAGATCGCCGCCGCCACCAAGGGAAGAAATCAGAGGAGAGGGGGAGAAGCAAGCAGCCCCAAAACCCTAGCCTGGGTTTCTTTTATAGGCAGAGAGGAGAGCTGGATGAGCTGGCGACAGCCTGTCGCCAGCGACCGCTTCGACGCCAAATCCGAACGAACGCACAGTTCGCTTCGACGCCAGCTTCGCACGAACGCAGAGTTGGCCTTCGCCAAACGCAGAGCTCGGGGAGGGGGCAGGCGAACGCAGAGCTCGCCGAACGCACAGTTGGGCATCGCTGTGACGCAGGGCTCGCCTTCGCCTGGACCTCGCCGCCTGTCACCTGGACCTCGCCGGAGCTCGTCTGCGACCATCGAACTCGTCGGAGCTCGTCGGAGCTCCTCGTCGCCGCTCCTCATCGGAAATGAGGTTTGATCTTCACCCTCATTCTAACACATTCAGTTTTATTTTGGCCTATATCCACCATTAAGTATCTATTATCATATCCTTAATTGTTTCCAACCAAGTTCTTTAGGTCTATCTCTTGATTTTTTGCCTCATTAACTACATAATATTATGACTTTACCTAACCGTACTCTGAAAGGCCTCTATTGTAACATACTAACATGGCCAACCATCTCAACCTACTCTCTCTCTCATTTTGGTTCTCAACCTTAATTGTTTCCAACCAAGTTCTTTAGGTCTATCTCTTGATCTTTTTGCCCCATTAACTATATAATATTATCACTTTACTTAATCAATACTCTGAAAGGTCTCCGTTGTAACATGGCCAACCATCTAAACCTACTCTCTCTCATTTTTATTCTCAATATGAGCAACCATTAATCTCACTCATTTATTATCCTATCTTTTAGCATATATCCACAAGATCATCATAGCGTTCTCATTGCTGCCACTCATTTTCTGCCCATGTTGATTTTTGAGTGCCCAGCATTCTGTTGTCATATCATATCAGCCTCAACCTTCTAATCAGAGTTTGACGTATTAGCTGCATATGGATTTTTTAACAATTCGTTTCAGATGTAGCCAAAACCTGCAGACCCTGTCCATATTGGCTAATAATGATTAATGCATGAAGAAATTTGAGGTTTGAAGTATCAAAGTTTGATTTTGAGATTAAAAAAAATAAATTAGAGACAACGAAGCTTGTGATTAAACTAACTTATTCCGTGTACAATGATTCTAATGCAAGATTTCCACCAAAACTCCCAAATTAGATGCCAAAAATGCAAAACAGGACCACAACAACATCTAGATTCCAAACCTTGCTTCTAAAACTGCGAAAACATCTCGCGAACTGCAGGAGAGTTCAAAGTTGTGAGGTTTTTACTTTACCCTTTATAGCCATTGGCTCATTTTCGTTGTGTTATTGTTAAGCATTAACAAATATTTATAGACTTTGAGGTGCAAGATTTTGTGCAGCCAGTTGGAATCAAATTTAAATGCATTAGTATTATCTCTTCAATTGAAACCTCTGGAATAGAACCACTAGTCTTGTTACTCCCAAAAAAGAACCACAGATCTTTCTTGCTTCTAATAGCTGTCACACTTAAGCTCCTGAACTTTGTGCCTATTTAACTAGCGCTAAGCATGGTTCTTTTCTTCATGAGATTTCTCATTTACAGGTGTCTCAATCTAAAATCATCTCTCCATCCTTTTGTCCATGTGTGTTTTAGGGCTTTATTTCAACATTTTCCCAGTTCAAAGCTTTCCGGTCTTGTATTTACCTTTCCTTTAACCTGCTAGGATTTGTCATAGCGGGCAGCATAGTATAAAAGCGAAAATGATTAGATTGAAGTTTCCAAACAAAGAGAGACAATCTGGAATCCACCAAAAGGCTTGAATCCACAAGGCAACTTGCATCCACCAAAGGGCTCCAAGTTCTTGAAATGTGTGAAAGGTGAACGCGTATGCAATCACTAAAATATGGATTTCTATTGTAAAGTTCTTTTTTTGTTTCAAATCAGGGTAGATTTCCATTGTAAAGTTCATTCTTGACAAATTGCCTATACTAAAATCTGGTGTATGTCTGGTATCTGGTCCAACATGCATGCTCATATTGTGTTTGTCACATGTTTGGATTCTTTGGACTGTGAAGGCATTTCACCATTATTAGTACTAGGGATAGGCATATGACTTGCTCTTTTCCCCTCAATGGACTCAAATATATATTCCTTGTCATCCAACTTTACGCGCAGAGGCAAATAAAACAGTGTTCCTTGTGTCTTGGTATTGGGAAAGTGGTGCAATTCTTCTCACAACCTATGAAAAGAGTCATCACCAGGTTCATGGTCGATGAACATTTGAAATCTTGCAGGAAGTTTCCTCATAGTTTAAAGGTTATCAGTGACCTGCTATTAGATGAAAATAAGGCACTATCACCAATTTGTTGGTTAATGACCTGCCACAAAAGGAAGCATATGTGTCATTTATGTTAATTTCCTGCACGGTCCCTACTAAAAAGAGAAATATTATTTTCCCTGAGATAATATATGGGATAAGAAATCCGCTCTACAATTTCATTTGCCTGCGTAACGACACATAAAACCTCTGGTCTTTCATATTGTAAGGCAAGTTATTGACTTAATATGCAGTTCATTATGGTTTTACCTTGGTTGTGTGATAATATGTAGGTTCTGAATAATATGGGAGAAATACTGAAAGCTGGTGGTGCCAGCTATTTGTTGGTTGTTAAGACGACCATCATGTATGAGTTTGGATCCTCATCAACTGGTTTCTTATTTTCTCTAAATTGAGTTCAGCTTGGAGGTGTTATTTTTGGTGGTGACATAAATCATTTTCTTTTGTAGGTTGGTGGTGACCTAAAGGATTTCAAGAAAGTGAATGAGATTTATGGGAAATGTGAGTTTCGCGGAGTAAAATAGTTTCTATTTGGCCTTAACTAAATGGTTCATTGTTTGTAGGGTTGCTTACTGAAACTAAATGTTTTTGTAACCAACTGTTTTCTATAAAAAAGTGTTTCTTTTCTACCCCCGAAGAAGGAAGTTTGACGTCTATTTTTTATCACTCCAACTGGCTTAGATGCTTTTTCATCTCATAATTTATCCTTATTGTGAAAGAACTGTCAGTAGATGCTCTTTGCAAACTGTTTTCTGTTTTATTTTGTAATTTATACGTTCTTTTAATGCACATCAATTCTTTCATAAACTATTTTTGTTGGGAAATTTGCCCTAAGGTAAATTTTAACTTTTCCCAAAAAAAAACACACTTCTTGCATATCAGTCATTAACCGTGTCATTAACATGATTAAGGAGATTTTCTGCTGATTTCAAATTTTCTTAGTTTTCTCTGATAAGAAAATAGAATGGTTTCTTACAGAATAGTTCATAATAGTTTTGTGATGTTTACCATATGCACGCAACATTTCTACATGCATGCAGACTTTTCATCGCCTGCTCCAGCGCGTTCAACTTACCAAGTAGCTGCGCTTCCATTGGATGCTCGGATTGAGATTGAGTGCTTTGCATCCTTGTAAAACTTGTTCTTGACATTGTTTTTTTTTTAACTTGGTCAGATAAAGTTTTGAGGCGAGAATTGTTAGTTTCAGTTTACCAAAATTGTGCTTGATTGTGTTCTCAGTAATTGATCAGTGTACTATTTTTTTAGCATCAGAGGATGCTAGAATGTACTTCACTTCTTGTCTGGTTATTGCGATGAGAATCAAACTTGTTATCCCCCTTACTGCAATAACTTTCGTTGAGTTTTCGCCTATGATCTCTTCTAGTTATAGTTTCAATCCAAACAATAGTCAGAAACTTGTAACGAAAGATGCATGCTTTTATATTGGTAAATTTCACAATAATCATGATGAACTAATAGGGATTTTGTTAACCTTCCCTAAGCCATTTTTATTATAAACATATTACAAATTTTCCATCGGCAAAAATATCGTTTACTATCAGAAGGTGCTCATGAACTAAATATCATGGGCTTTGGTATATATTTTACACCACTACCATGAATCCTCAAATTAACTCACGAAATTTTAATAAAATTTTAATTAATATAAAATACCATATAATGTTTTGAATATATGTGATATTTGTCTATTGAGTACTTCGTTTGGACTCAAAATTCATGGTATCAACCATAAGACAAGGTGACATGTGTCATTTTCTTGGGATTTAACCAAGATAAATAACTATTATAGAAACACATCAAATGTCCCATAGTTAGTCCCATGATTTTAGACAACATCATTTTTGAAACTTTACTTACCAAGGTCCAAGATTATATTTGATATTTTACTGATTTTCTCCCTATAAGTAGGACAAAAATAAGTTGAAAATTTTGCAATAATCTTTTTTGGCCCTTACAAGGAGGTTTACTTATTATTTAACAAAAGACTATTTTACCGATTTACTTAATTAATTAGGGATCACGGGACAATGTTTGCCAAACATGGCCTTAGAGAGATTGGATTTAGAAAATAAATTAACATAAAAAATCTAGAATTACAGGGTTTTAAACAAAACTGAGGTAAAACTATCGATTTATAGACAACTCTTTAAAAATCAAACAATTATAAATATCAATTTCTAGTATACATCACTTTAAGATTTGGCTCAAAAACACTCATTGGAATACTAACCACATAATTTTGGAATTTCACTCTAGTGCCTTATCTACAAGAGCCAATTGTACGTACGAGGTTTTGATACGGTATCTAGCATGATAGTTTAGGAGTCCAAGTTCAGCTCCTCTATTAACACCTAGAGATCCTCATTCTATTGCTGATGGTCTTTTTCCGACTGTAGTAATTTTTGGTGCCTCGTTAGTCCTTTTTTTCCTTTTATTATTGTTATTTTCTAGGTTTTATTCTTTTTTTTCCTTTTCTTTTTCTTCTAGACATTTTTTCAGAAAGAAATTCGTTTGAATTTTAAACATCAGGGATTATTGCTTATTTTCATCAAGGTTAATTAGTATCTTGATTTACTTCTATTTGTTCTATTAATATATTATGAATTTGTATGAGAACAACAATGTGCTTCATGGTAATGGTGTATAATAGAAAGCATTCAGAAATAGCACAAGCCAGACTCCCCATCTAATAGCAAAAAGAGAAACAAACAAGAGAGAGTAAAAATTATTAGAGCAGTTTAACTCAAGGGAGACAAGTTGCTACGTTATAACAATAATATATGCTTTATAAAATCACCTATTTACTGTTAGTATTTGTTTGTAAAAAACAAGATAGTCCCACATTGGAATTTTGAACATTCTTTTAGATGTTTAAAAACATTGAATGCTTATTAGGTTTTGAATAATGGATCAAAGGCTTCTAAACCCGCGTGCGGGTAGCGCGAATAGCACTTTGCACACATATATATAATTATATATTGAATATTTTTTAATGTTATTTTGAATTTTAAAATTATGAAAAGACAAGTGACGGTTGAAAAGTGGCTGTTTGCTCCAAAGGGTGTTTTGAAAAGTTATGACTGTTGGAAGCACATTTTCAAACCTATAAATAGTTTATGTTTTGAGATATCTAAAAACAATTTCTTTTCTAAATCTTTTTTAATCAAGAAACATCTGCAATATTACAAACTTGTTTCACAACGAATTAAGAAAAATTTCAGATTTGCTTACTGAAATTTTCATTTTCTGTTGTATCCTGGGAAGAAAATTTGTATTAACCCGAGTCAACTTTGAATATCAAGTGGGGGCAAATATTTCTTTAAGGAAAATGTTTCACGCCTCAGAATTTCTGTCTCCTTCAGATTATTAAAAAATAACATTTACCGTTAGGAAAGAAAAAAAAACCCAACAAATTAGTCCAAACCTTAGATAAATCATGTGATGTTGCTGATGTTCTTAACAAACAGCCAAAAAAAAGAGAGAGAAAAAAGAAAGTGATTACGTGTTCAAAATGTTGATCTATTTCCAGGAAAATCATAAAGATCAAAACACCATGTTGCTTAAATTCCAGCTAGAGCAAAACCGTACCAAGCTAGAGTTTGATTCAAACATCAAATATTAACAAATTAATCTGGCAAATCCGAACAAGATATGCCTGTAGAAAACAACTCCGACTGCAACTTGAACTAGATCCTGTAATTTTCCTTTATATAGGGCTGTTAATTGTCCACCCTCAATACCGAGAGGAAGAGAAAGAGGAGATTATCATGGGTTTTTTTTTCTCATTCTTCGCTAAAAGCTGCTGCAATTGTGACGATGATGATGACCATGATTCTCTTCGCAAACGCAGAAATTCTTCTTCTTCTTTATCACGGCGAAAGCAGCCTCATCATCATTATCACCACCACCACGGTCATCACTGTGAGAAAACATCAATGTAAGAGAATGTGGACCAGATAGAACAGAGTCGTAGCTAATAGTAGTGTGGAAATAATAAATTGGTCACACAGACTTTTTACATGGAAAACCCCTAAATAAACTAGAATAAAAATCACGGACAAAAGTAGAAGAATTTATTACGAGGAAAATTTTAGAGTTACAATATCTCTCTTATACAAAGAGAAACTCTCTCTATTTTTTTTTCTCTCTTCTATTTGAATTTGGAGATTAGATTGATTGAAGTGAAAATAAACTCCGAAGCAAACTCCTTTTATAGGCAACCTCTATTCCAAATTATCACCAATTGCGGCTTCACAATTTCTTCGTTTTTGGTGCCTAACTCTGACATGTCAAGGAATGTTGCTCCGTTCTATAAAAAATAATATGGGCATGGACCGCAATCCTTTTGGTCCAAAAATTGTGGCTCGATCCAGCTCCATCAAACGATCTCCCACTTGAAGATTTAATTGAGAGTCAATCATATATTCACATCATTCTTATTATCTTGTTATTTTCATGTTGTTCACATCTCCGTCAAACCACAAGAGGATCGACACTAAATAAACTTGTCAATATTGGTTGTTTTTGTTAAAAAAAATTATTGGGTTGTCTTTGGTGTTGTTGATGTCGGTAATCAAAGTACGACCCTTTGCCAACAATAGATAATATAATGGGGGTGAGGTTGATTAGGGGCCGCTAACTTCTCTGAATATCTGATTTTGAGTTGAGTAGCTTCAACCTGCATAAATAGCAATTCGTGAGAGGACGATGACTAGTTTCCCTGTTGTTCCTCCGACGATCAAGTCAGTTAATGGACTTGAGTGGAAAAATGATGAACTGTGTGAGTTCTAAAGTATAGTGCAGTGGAATTCTCAGATATTGCTTGCTTACCCTGGTATTTGGGATAGTACCTCTATTTATAATGGTGGAAAAAGGGTAGAATGGTAATCTCGACCGAGTACCGAATGACAACAAACGAGTATGGGATGGCGGCTACGTCAACACCTACTTTACATGTGTCGGTCGACGAGTAAAGGAGAGGTTACCTTAAATTTTAATACAAAGTGATTGGGGGCATGTCGGTGCCGACATGGTCCGATGTGTCATGAAGACTATCGAGGCTAGAGGAATGATGGGGCCTACCAACCATTTAATGTGACGCCGACGCGCTGTCAACGGGGGAGGCTCGATGTTGAAGTAGTCCTTTGGCTTGGTCGAGAAGTAATGCCTTTCGAGTCAACCTCACATGATGTCGAACAACTGGTCGAGTGGGCTCGTAGCGAGTCAACTTCGATAAGAAGACCGACAAGTATTGCCCTTTGAGTTGACCTACGGAGATGTCGACTCTGCGAGTCGGCTGAGTCGGGATTCTTGGTGGTTCTGACCGTCAATTCGATTTGAGCAGTACACATAGGGAGACACATGTCTGTTGTTGGCAAAGGGTCGTACTTTGATGACTGAAAACACCATAACAGTTGGCCCCTTTCACTTGAAGTCGGCTTGGGTCGGATCCGAGTGAAATGAGAGCAGCTTTGGACGGACGTGGGTGTGCATTAAATGAGGGAACCAAAAAGTCTTTTTAGATTTTACCTGGCTGACGTCACCACACATTCTTTTTGACTGCCATAGCTTCGCTTTTCATGCCGGATTACGGGTTATTCAAAGTTAGTGGACCGCGCCTTGATCCTTGAGGTGTCGCTTTGGATTCTGAGAATTAATCTTGGCCGCTGGCCAAAGCTTGATCTGGCTGTTCAGATTCCGACAGTTTTAGATCCAGTTGCCTATATATAGAGCCAGGGCCATGGAGATGGTGGTTATTGTCTTTTGAAATTCCCTCCTGAGTACTT